ATGAATTAGATGATAGTATTGAAATTGTTATCAATTAAATAAAAGATTTAATGAATTTGGTATAAATTCATTAATAAATCATTTTTAGTTCATTTATTTCTATATTAAAATTTAATAACTAATATAAAATTTATATTGTTGTATATTAAAACCTTGATTATAACATATGATAATAAAAACTGATGTTAAATTTTAAAATTTTAACGCATAACAACAAAATTTTACATTGCCTAACGTCAAAATTTGGAACTTTAACGCATAATGACAAAAAATTCACAGAATATTACATTGCTGATATCAAAATTTAGAATTTTAATGTATAACGACAAAAAATTCATAGAATATTACGTTGCTGATGTCAAACTTCAGAATTTTGACATATGACGATATCAAATTTTATAGATTTTTCATCATCGTGCATTGAATCCAACTGACCAATTAGCTATAAGAGGGTACTTATTTTCAGAGATGCATATTTTTAGTTTTTGCTTACATCATAATAAAAATCTAGAAAATGCTTATTTTAGATAGATGCTTATTTTCAGTATTTTACAGTATATGAAATATTTTTATATTATTTAATATATCTTTTATTTTTTTTTATAATTATTTATTTTATATTATAGACTTAATATATAAAATTTAAAATAATAGTATAAAATATATATAATTTAAAATAAATATAATATTGATAAAATTTAATTTATTGAATTTAAAACTTTATTTTTATTTATAAATTAATTTTCAGTATACTACATTTAAATAATTAGAATAATATTAATCAAAGCAAAAAATATAACAAAATTATAATTTAAATTAATTATTTGATAATTAAAAAATTATAAATGATAAATATTAATAATTAAATACAATTTAACAGGTATAGTTTATATTTATTTAATAATCTATATATATAGTATATAAAAAATGTATTAAGAAAAATGATTAATTTAATATTAAAAAAGTTATTTTTTATATAAAAATAAGTATAAATTTTGCAAAAAAAAAACATTTTTTTATTTAATATAAAAGTTTAGTAAATTGTTAGACAAACCTAGAAAGTTAGTAAATAATTTAAATAATAAAAAATAAAACTTAATAAAATTATATAAAATTTTATTAAAAGATTAATAAAATTCAAAAAAGGTAAAATTATATTAATATTTATAAAAATAATAACTATATCAAAATCTTAATAAATAATAAAGATTTTAGAAATAATTTAATTTAATTAAATTAATTTAATAAAAACTATTATCAAATTTCTTTTATTAAAAAAATTTAATAAATAATAAAGAATTATTATAGATTTATTTATTTTTAAAGTTATATATAAAATTAAAATTACAGTTTAAAATTAAAATATTTTAATTTTAAAATTAAAAGTAAAGTATTTTTTTTAAAAACTAGTAAATATAATTTATTAAATAAATAGGTATTATAATATATATATTAATTAATATTACTTTTAAAAATAATTATATTTAAAAATTTTTTATTTTTAATTATATAATAAAAAAATTTAAAGTTATTTATAAGCTAAAATTTATAATTTTAAAAAATTTTATTATTAATCTTTGAAAAGTTTATTAAAATTTATTTTTAGTAATATTAATTATAATATTATTATAAAATTTATCATAAAGAATAATTTTAATTATAATTTTTATTAGTAGTAAAATACTTTAATCAGTTTATAAATATATTAATTTTAAGAAATTTTAAAAAATTATTATAAAAAATTTTTACCTTAATTTTAAAATTGAATTATTTAAAAAACTTTCTAATCAATTTTAATTTCTTTTAATAAAGTTGATTAAATATATATTAAACTATATTTTCATATAATTATTATATTATTAAAAAAATTAATTTTAATATTTTATTAAAAATTAATACTTTTTTTTTAAAAGCAGGTAAATTTGTATATTAAACAATTTAAGAAATATAATCTTATTTTACATTAATTTATGTTTAATTTAATTTGGAAATATTTAAATAATGCAGTATAGTAAACATTGATATAAAAAATTCATAATATAATGAAATTTTATTTATTATAAGACATTTAATCAATAAAGTATATTAAAAATTCCTTGTTCAAAGTTACTAATCAAATTCTTTTTATAAGATTATAATGAATTTGATATCTGAAATGGCAACTTTGCTATATCAAAGTTGATTGTTTTATTAAGATTATTCTATTCTTATTAGATTATATTAAGAAAAACTTATAAGAAATTTTATATTTTTGCAACCAATTTTTAATCTTTATCTTGACTTTTTCTTTAAAATAGCCATATATTTTTGATATAATTTAAGTTTAATTTATACTAGGATGGATTGTTAAGTCCGGAGCACAAGTGTAACGAAAGGGACCAACCACGTATCGACTCAAAATTTGAGCGGGGACAATAGGTTTTATTTTTGTTATTTTGATGCACATCGGAACATCAAAGCGCATAAAACATATTATAGTCCTTCGCTAACGCTTCGGACTAATAATAGTTATTTTTATAATTATTGAATCTTGTGAAATGTAATTTAATATAAACTAGAAAATGGGAACCATTGTTAAGTCCGGAACGATCTTAACTAAAAAAATTCACACTGGACTATTGTGCAATTACAAAAGCCAATCAGCATCGACCCAACGAAGTGAAGGACTAATCAAATTATTTTTTTTTTTTTTAAAATGATTTTACTATAAAAATAATTCATATATTATTTATTTAGAATGAAAGTTTTTTATCATTTTGATTTTACTATTATTCTATTAAAATAATACTTTTTATATTTATTATTTATTAAAAAGATTTTTTTTATTATGTAGATAAATAATATTTTATCATTTTTTAGAATAATTCGTCTATTCTTCTAAAAGAATAATTTTATTAAAAACGATTCAACCATTAATAATGTGTTATTGTTTTTAAATTATTATTTCGAAATCATAATAAATAAAAGCAATGTAGCAATTTATTTTGCTATTAATCAAGCATAATTTGCATGAACTATTTACACACTTGCTTCTTTTGTGTTCTTATTGATATAATTAAAATCGTTCTAAAACTTTCAAATATACAGTTTATTATAATTCCTAAAATGGTAATAGATCGGCAATTATCTGATTCACCAAAAATTTTAATAAATATGGGTAATCTTTTACTTTCATTCTAATCCTCTATTTTAAGTATAATCACTACGAATATATCACGTTCAGATTAAGGAGTAAATTTCTCCATATGGAGGATGAAAAGGTGGCAATTAAAAGATGCACTGTCGATCAATGATCAATGCAGTAATCAATTTTAATTTTAATTTTAATTTAGTTGTGGGGAATATTTATATTTTGTAAGATTTTAATGTGACACCAATTAAGATCAAATTATTGTCCATTTTTAAATGGTATAAAAAGAGCCGAAAAAATTTTGTAAACAAGTTTTTTTTAAACCAAAAAAAAAAAAAAATGAAGGGTATACAAATTATTTCATTTTTGTTCGCTTTTATCACAGTATTTGCATCAGGTAAAAAAAGTATAAATGATAAAATGTTATTTTGTATATTTTAGTAATTTATTAATTCGAATACAAATTTTTATCTTCAATAAAAAAGCCGAAATAAGCATCAAATATCCTTCAAAAGATTATTTTTTAGTAGCAGGACAACCAAATGATGTTCTTTGGACTTCGGAAGCAGGCGACCCTGCAACATTTTCGATTTATTTAAATAATCCGGTAATGTATAAATTTTAATAAAGTACCTTTCATTTAAAATATACCAATAAAATTATATTAAATTCTTTTTAAAAATAAATAGGCAATTTCTGATTTAAAAAATTTTGCACTTGCTAATAATGTTGCAACAAGTCTCAATAAAACTAGTATTACTTTGCCTGAAACTCTTGTCAATACTGGTAATACTTTGTAATTATATTCCTTTATTTCTAATACTACTAAATACTAATATAACCTTTTCTATAAAAATAGGGTTTCAAGTATTTTTTACAGATATAGGAAATATTACAAAAGTTTATGCAACATCAGAAGTTTTTGAAATAAAAGCTCATGGTACTGCTCCAGTAGCATATACTCCACCAACACCAACACCTTCTCCTTCTTCCTCAGATTCAAAAAATTCTGGTGGTAATGGTGACGCCTCAAAACAAAATTCTTCAAATTCTATTCACGATTATGGATTTGGCATTTTAGCTTTCATTACTCTAGTTACTATATTTTTATTTTAATTGACTCGACTTTACCTTACTTTATTTATTAATTAGAATATAATAATTTAAGTATTAATGAAATGAATTTAAAAGAAATAATTTTAATTTCTATCTTATAATAATTAAACTATATAAAGTCCATCCGGACAATGTTTTAAATTTCAATATTAAAATAATAAAAAGCTAAAAAATTAAAGA